CCCTGAACCTGCTGGGGCTGGACGCCAGCGCACACACACACACACACACACACACACTCGACCTCTTTTTCTTGGGAAGGTTTGCACCGTCTGTCTTTGTGAGAGTCTGAGGGTGAAGAAAAGGAAGTGGTTCCCAACAGTGTCCCTGAGGTTGATCGAAAACAGCCTTCCCCACCAGGATAGTAGCAGAGGCTTGCAACCAGCCGGTCTTGGAGCAATTTCAGTGCCCTCCCGAGGCTGTTCGTTAGAGCGAGCTGATTGTTCCCCAGGCTGTGGCTGTGTAGACGTGACCCGCAAGGTCCCAGGGAGGCTGAAGGCCACCGTGGTGGGGCAGGGGGGGGGTTGGCGGGCTGCCTTGGACAGAAACCGAATGTGACTTGAGGTTTTGGGTTTCCCCGTTTCGGTTTTGGCTGAAGTCAGACCCTGGTTCCAGCCCGATCACGTTGAACCATTCTGTGGCCCACAGGGATTTAGACTTAAAACTCCCGTTTCCGGGCCAGATTGTTTTTGTTGGACTTTGCACTGGCCCGTCCTCTTCAGAACTGAGAGCACTGGCTTCCCCCCCACCTCCCCGTCCTCTGACCTCTCACTTCAAACTTTCCGAGTTGAATGAAGAGTAACCCTGCAGCCTTTCCAGTGTATGGACCCTGTGAAACTCACCGTCCCTGCAGCCATGATCTCTGTCTGTCTTACCGGTGGCTCACTGAGGCACGGGAAGACTGATGACAGCTGCCATCTTGCAGCTGCCCCCCACCCCCGAGAGACCCCGAGCTCCTTGCGCCTGACCCCATTGCACTCTCCTGCCTGTGCCCGGCCTCCCGCTCTGGTGCTCTTCCCACACGTGTCATCCAGGTGTGGGCTCAGGGCATCCCTCAGTTCCAGGATGAGCCGCTTCATCGTCACCAATTCGCTCCTTCAGAGAGTGCCACCCTCCGGGCAACCGGCACAGGCAGCCCTAGGGGACTGTTCCCTGTGCTGTGCCAGGTGTCAGACTGCACTGCACACTTCCTCACCTGTCATCTCAGGTGATGCTCCCATTAGTGCCGTCAGCAGCCGGGCCAGCTTGCTGGGCCTGTGACCAGCACCATCTTTCAGGGCCTGTGCTTGCCTTAGAAGGAAGGGCACCACGCTGGCTTTTACGCCCTGCACTTGCCTTCTTGAATTTTTAAGTAAGTTTTCAACAGTTGGCCCACGTCTTCCAGCTTGCACTGAGCCCTGAAAGTCAGGTAGCCGGTCCTGCCCACAGATCGAGGCGCCGAGGCTTGAGACGGGATGTAATTTGCCCGAGATTGCACAGCTCATAACTGTCAGGGCTGGGATCGGAGGAGTTTCTACTTTGCTCCTTCGTTGATTAAAAATAGAGCTCTGAAGAGCCTTGTGGGAATTGCCCTTCAAGGAATGAGGCAAATCGTGCTGTAGAAATACTGATTTTCTGTGGAGATGTGCTTGCATGTCGTTAAATAGTTTTGTGGTGACCCCCACACCGGCCAGTTGCCACCCTTGTCTTTGAGGGAGGAACCCTATCGGTCATTTCTTTTGAGGTCCCTGAAAGTGCCTGCAACAGGGCGCCTCCCTGGGGAGCCACGCAGGCCGATCAAGTGGGTC